TACTCAATTTTAAGTCAAAAAAATTTCGTTCAAAAAAACTGCTTTCATTTTCGTGAAAACCAAACATTTTTCAATCATTTTTCGATCAAAAATTATCAAATCTTTCTCTTTTTTTACTGAAAAATCAAAAATTTGAAATTTCAAAATTCAAAATTCAAAGTGTGAAAAAGAAATTTTTTTTTTTTTCTCACACTCTTTTCGTTTTAAATTCCATTGAAATGTGGGTGAATAATTGAAAAAATTGAAGAAAGCTCTTTGGATCGAGATGGAGAATCAAGCATTTTAGCTAAAATTCAGCTAAAAGTTAAGGATTTGAAAAAAATCTCATGAAAACCTTATCGTCTGACAAAATTTTTAGCTTCTTTTTTGGAGTGAGCTTTATTTTGTTTCATTTGGTTTATTTCATTTCATTTCGTTTCATTTCTTCATTTCTTCATTTCTTCATTTCTTTATTTCTTTATTTCTTTATTTCTTCATTTCATTTACTACCTTTCATATTACTTTTTGTCCCATTTATCACTAAATTTCTAAAAACAATTTGATCGAAATAATTAAAAAAACAAAGAAAAGTCTTGAAAACGTTTTTGAGACGGCGTTCTTTTTTAGAATTTGTGTGGGAGTGAAGTGGATCGATTACAGAGAAACTGAAGAGATGTTTTCTTGGATTTTGATTTCACCTAAGGCAAACCTTTGGAAACATCGCCTACGTAGAATCAGCAAAAATCGATCTAATGAGTTGAAATAGAGCTAGAGCTGACGCATAGATTTATTGAATAGCCTTGTTTAGGGCTTGTCTTGCTTGGGTTAGCTTGAACTCGAGTTGAACAAGCTGGTCCTTTTATGGGCTGGGGCTGAGGCTGAGAATTCAAAGCCGCGAACTCTTGCTTACCAGGCGAACGCTCTACCAATTAGCTACAATGACACGTATCCCGTTGCCTTTTGGTAAAGCCTTATGCCTTACTCTGAAGCATTAATGCTAGATTTTGAGAAAGAAACTATTGGAAACAAGCTAGGGTTCAACTACAAGTTCGATAGTTCGACAGTTCTATAGTTCTATAGCTCTACAGCTCTACAGTTCTACAAGTTCTCCCACTACAGTTCCACAGCTCTACAGTTCTTTCTACAGTTCTAAAGTTCTATAGTTCTATAGTTCTACAGTTCGATAGTTCTTCAGTTCTAAGTTCTATAGTTCTATAGTTCTATAGTTCGATAGTTCTCCAGTTCTAAGTTCTACATTTCTACAGTTCTACAGTTACAAACAACTACCAGTTCAACTACCAATTGTACAATTGTACAATTGTTTCTATAGATATTTCCATTTTACACAATCCTAGGAATAAGGGGAATATGACGAGAGAAAAGGAAAGGAAGAGTGTGATGACTGAAGTGGGAGTGAAAGGGGAAAAGCACCTCTCAACCCTTCTCGATGAGCAATCAAAAAGCAAAGAAAAGACAAAAAACGCCTCAGAAAGCCTCAGAAATGAGTCCATCTTGATCTTTTCAATATCTATCCCAATCACGCACTTCATTTCCCCTTTCTTTTTCGATTCTTGATCTCCTTCAAGTTCTCAACGAAATTCTGAGAATTTCCTTGGTTACCTTTACTTTTTTTCTGTTCTTTGTGCTTAGCTTGTTGTGCACATGGAGACCGGTCTAAAATTTCCAAAAATGTTATTTAACTTTGGTTTGGTTTTAAAAGGTTAAACTTGATGAAAAAAGGAGTGTACTGACGTAAATTTTCTTCTATTTAACAGTCTTTTTTTCTGTTCTTTGTTCTATTCTTTTTTTCTATTCTTTTTCTATTCTTTTTTTCTATTCTTTTCCATTTATGCAATGATTTACTTTAGTGTGGCTCAGAAAACCTTTTTACTTTTCTATCTTTTTCTATCCCGGCTACTGCGGATGCTCTTGTTGTTATTTTATGCAAACATAAATGTTAAATAACATTTTTGGAAATTTTAGACCGGTCTCCATGTGCACAACAAGCTAAGCATAATGGACGGCAGGCATCATTAGATACAGTACCGGACAATGAAATATGATATTTGAAAAACGATCGTCACTTTCGCGCGTCTGTAACTCCGTTGTCTTTACCGTATTTGTAAATATTAATATTACCATTGTGTAGCCCTTGAATACCATTTTCGCCATTTTTTTTCGAATACTATTTTCGATATTAAAGGTAAACCCAGGTCAACTTTAGATCCGTGGAAAACCTAGGTAAACCCTACCTAAGTAAACTCTAGATCTAAGTAAACCCTACCTAGCTAAACCCTAGTTCTAGGTAAACCCTACCTAGGTAAATCCTAGATCTGGGTAAACCCTACCTAAGTAAACTCTAGATCTAAGTAAACCCTACCTAGCTAAACCCTAGTTCTAGGTAAACCCTACCTAAGTAAACTATAGATCTAGGTAAACCCTACCTAGGTAAATCCTAGATCTGGGTAAACCCTATCTAAGTAAACTCTAGTTCTAGGTAAACCCTACCTAGGTACAGTACCGGACAATGAAATATGATATTTGAGAAACGATCGTCACTTTCGCGTAACTGCAACTCCCTTGTCTTTGAGTTTAAACTATTAGTGTTATACATTTTCTGAAAGCTCTTTTCAAGGGCTACACAATGATAATATTAATATTTAGAAATACGGTAAAGACAAGCGAGTTACAGAGGCGCGAAAGTGACGATCGTTTTTAGTTCGACAGTTTTACCTCATTTTGTACAAAGACAAAAAGTACAAGATAAAGCTTAAATTTTTCAAAAAAAAGCTTTCAAAATTTAACTACAGGTTTCTGTAAGCAAAAAATGATCCGTTTGCGTTAATTCAAAACGGGAAAAACACCGAAATTAGGGGTTTATCGTACTTTTAAAGTAATTTTTGGTGGAACTTTTGACTTAATTCGATGTTAGTTTCACTTTTAACCAGTAATCAACAAATATTTTATTAGAAATGATTTCAGAAACAAGCTCACCTTCAAGTTTCAAAGCTTTTCCAAAGAAATATTTTGCTAAATTCGATTTCAAAAGATTAGGTGCACCAGAAAGTGTGCGTTTATGAGAAAGCACAAAGAACGCTAGGGCTTCAGTGTGCCAAACCCTAGCGTTTATGAGGAAGCACAAAGAACTCTAGGGCTTCAGTGTGCCAGAAGCCTAGCGCTTATGAGAAAGCACAGAGAACGCTAGGGCTTCAGTGTGCCAAACCCTAGCGTTTATGAGGAAGCACAAAGAACTCTAGGGCTTCAGTGTGCCAGAAGCCTAGCGCTTATGAGAAAGACAGAGAACGCTAGGGCTTCAGTGTGCCAAACCCTAGCGTTTATGAGGAAGCACAAAGAACTCTAGGGCTTGAGTGTGCCAGAAGCCTAGCGCTTATGAGAAAGCACAGAGAACGCTAGGGCTTCAGTGTGCCAAACCCTAGCGTTTATGAGGAAGCACAAAGAACTCTAGGGCTTCAGTGTGCCAAACCCTAGCGTTTATGAGAAAGCACAGAGAACGCTAGGGCTTCAGGGTGCCAGAAGCCTAGCGCTTATGAGAAAGCACAGAGAACGCTAGGGCTTCAGGGTGCCAGAAGCCTAGCGCTTATGAGAAAGCACAGAGAACGCTAGGGCTTCAGGGTGCCAGAAGCCTAGCGCTTATGAGAAAGCACAGAGAACGCTAGGGCTTCAGGGTGCCAGAAGCCTAGCGCTTATGAGAAAGCACAAAGAATGCTAGGATTTCACAATTTCACTTTTACAAAGTACCCTCCGATTCCAGCACACCAAAACCCTAGCGTTTCCATTTCTCTTGTCAATCTCGGATCTCCAACAATAAATGTGCCGAAAGTCTTCCTAAAAGTTCCGCTTTGTGACACGTCTTTACTTCTTTTCATCAATTTTTCACAAAAGCGCTAAATTTTTCACGTCTTTAACAGACGTCTTTCCGTTTTTTCCTTTCTTTCAAGCGAAAAATAGCCCATTTTTCTTTTTTTCTCTGTAAATTTTTCAAATTTTTATGAATTTTTAAAAGATTTAAAAAAAAATGAAAGCCGATCTATGCCTCAATTTTTTTTTCTGTAACTTGTAGCATTTGAAAAAGTAGTTATTCTTGGCAAATTTTCACTTAAAAATCCCCCCATCTAGCAAGCTAATTACCATCGAAAATCCCAGGAAGCTATAAAATAGATTTTTCTCACAAAAATTCGTCTAACTTTCGTATTTCATGAATTCCTTTCATAAATTCGGATCTTTAAATAAATTCGTGACTTTTTATGCTTAGAAATGAGGCTCTTCTCGGGTTTTAAAACTTTTTGAAAAATAGCCACCCTTTAAAGCTTTATAACTTTATCTAGAGTTAATATTAGTGTTAACTTTTTATATCATTGAATAGAGAACATTTCAGGCTTTCAAATGATACCAAATAAAGCTTTTTTGGGTAAACGAGTCTCAGAAAATGAAGCGAGATAAAGCCCAAGCTGGGTCGGCTTCGGTTGCTCAGTGTTGGCTTCGATTTTTCTGGACTCGTTTATCGAAAAAAGCTTTATTTGGTATCATTTGAAAGCTTAAATGACACTAGAGAACATTTTAAGCTTTCAAATGATACCAAATAAAGCTTTTTTCGATAAACGAGTCCAGAAAAATCGAAGCCAACACTGAGCAACCGAAGCCGACCCAGCTTGGGCTCTATCTCGCTTGATTTTCTGGGACTCGATTGTCCAAAAAAGCTTTATTTGGTATCATTTGAAAGCTTAAAATGTTCTCTATACAATAATATAAAAAGTTAACACTAATATTATCTCTGGAAAAAGTTATGAAGCTTTAAAGAGTGGCTACTCATTTAAAGAGGCTTCTTTTTGCAATTTCGAGTTTTACCATTGTTTTTTTGGTCTAATTTCTAGCATTTCAGAAAAAAAATGTTCTACTCAGAGATGTTTACGAAAGCGATTCCGGTGAATCGTTCATCAGTTGAAGGGTTCGATCGCCTCGTTCAATATCACATTATCAACTCAAGTCTTGGCGCTGTTTGTATGGCAATCAACTTCTTTTTACTCTCCATTTTTCTTGGTTATCCATTGTTTCGAAAAAAATACCAGGTTAGCTAATGAGCTTTGTTCGTTTTGATTGATTGAGTCTATTCTAAGATTGCTGTACAGTACAGATTACTGTACAATACAGATTGCTGTACAGATGAGCTTACTGTACTTGATTACAAGTACTGTAGCTACAGTAAGCTTGCTGGTCTCTTGAACAGTCAGCTGTAAGTCTATTGTAAGATTGCTGTACAGTACAGATTGATGTACAGTAATCTTGCAGTTACAGACATGTAGTTACAGTAATCCTAAACTGTCTAGACTCTTGACAAAGCTATAGGACTACAGGAACAATGTATTGTAAGATCACTGTAGCTACAGTAATCCTAAACTGTCTAGACTCTTGGCAGCTCAAGTAGAAATGCTATAGAATTAGAACAATCCAACAGTAGTACCGTTTAAAAGCTTACTGTAGTTGCAAAGCTCTACAATTGTACTACATTTAATGACAAAGTTAATGTAGAAATAGTTCATACAGTAGTCATCCTATGGTAAGGTTACTGTAGCTACAGTAATCCTACCATACCTCGACGCTTGCCAAAGCTATAGGACTACAGGAAGAAGGCATTGTAAGGTTACTGTAGTTACAGTAATCCTACAGATTACTGTAGCTACAGTAACCTAGACCTGCTGTAGTTCTAGTAACTCAAATTCCAGCTACTCATCCTATTAGCTGTCGGTGATGGGATCAATGGCTTAGCGATTATTTTAACTGGTCTCAACCGTGTTTATCTTTATTCAACTGCTTTGGAGACATTAACTCTTCCAGTCAGAACGCCGTGGGAATGCGCGGTCGAAGTTTGGATCATCATGAAGCTCGTCGGTGAGTGAACATGTTTTTCATATCTCTTTCATATCTTGACACTCTTCTATTGTAGCTTTATTACCATAGCTTCGATACTGGCTACCGTAGACCACACACTAGCTATAGCAAGCCCTAGAATCACTATAGTAAGTCTAGAATGACTACAGTAAGCCTATAATGACTACAGTAAGCCTACAATGACTACAGTAAGCCTAGAATGATTACAGTAAGCCTATAATGACTACAGTAGGCCTACAATGACTACCGTAAGCCAAGAATGACTACAGTAAGCCTAGAATGACTACAGTAAGCCCTAGAATCACTATAGTAAGTCTAGAATGACTACAGTAGGCCTACAATGACTACAGTAGGCCTACAATGACTACAGTAAGCCTATAATGATTACAGTAAGCCTCTTATGTTCAATAGCTTAGTGGTAGCTTCAATAGCTTCAATAGCTATTGAAGCCTGGTAAGCAGAAGTGAAAGTGAAAGGTAAGTGAAAGGTGGACAGTTCAATTCATCATCGTTTCCTCTTTACCATTCATTTCTTTATTTTACAATTCATCAAACTCATTCTTTATTTCTTTCTTTACTTTACATTCATTGGAAAGATTGTTTATCATTTTCTTATGTTCTTTTAAATGAATAAACATACAGGCGATCTCCTTCTCCCAATCACGACACTTTGCATGGGAATCGAGCGTCTCGTAGCGATTCTCTTCCCCATTTTCTTTCATCAACGACTCGATGGAAGACCGATAAAGTGAGAAAACTCGATGAAATTATTTGGAAATCATTTGGAAATCTTTGGAAATCATTTGGAAATGAATTTGTTCTTTTTAGAGTAGTTTAGGAGTCGACTAGACTAGAAAGTAGTCCAGAAAATAGTCCAGAAAAGTAGACCAGAAAGTAGTCCAGAAAATGGTCCAGAAAATAGTTCAGGAAAGTAGTTAAAGTAAACGTACAATTCTTGGATTTACTTTAGTTTGTCTTTAGTTTGTTTTTAGTTTTCTTAAAGTTTTCTTTAGTTTCTCATTAGTTTTCTTAAAGATTTCTAAAGATTTCTAAAGTTTTCTTTAGTTTTCTTAAAGATTTCTAAAGCTTTCTTTAGTTTTCTTAAGGTTTATTAAAGTTTTCTCTTAAAGTTTTCTTTAGTTTCCCATTAGTTTTCTTAAAGATTTCATAGAAACTCGTAAACTTTTTCTTATCTTAAGACAGATTAGAGTAGTTTTTTAAAAGAAAATTAATTAATAACATTGAAAATTCTTTTAAAAATTTCGGAAATTATTGATGAAATCAATTTCTTTCTTTGTTTATTCACAAGTTTTCGATTTTTTTTTTTTTAGTCCACACAGTGCACTCCCTTTCCACCCAGGTACAAGAGTGCAAAAAAACAATAAAGTCTTTAAAGTCCGCTCTTTAAAGTATACTTTTGTGCTCAAGATTGAAAACAAATCCTATCTAGTGCAATGAGTTCTCGATTTTTAGATGACACTAGATGACATTTTAAGCTTTCAAATGATACCAAATAAAGCTTTTTTCGATAAACGAGTCCAAAAAAAATCGAAGCCAACACTGAGCAACCGAAGCCGACCCAGCTTGGGCTCTATCTCGCTTGATTTTCTGGGACTCGATTATCCAAAAAGCTTTATTTGGTATCATTTGAAAGCTTAAAATGTTCTCTATCAAAATGATATAAAAAAGTTAACACTAATATTATCTCTGGAAAAAGTTATGAAGCTTTAAAGGGTGGCTACTCATTTAAAGAGGCTTCTTTTTTTGTTCTTTAAAGTATACTTTGTGCTTGAAAACAAATCCTATCTAGTGCACTGAGTTCTCCATTTTTTACGATTTCTAAATGAATATGCTAGAAAGGATCGATTAGAAAGGATTTTTAGTTCAAAGTACACTTTAAAGAGCAGAGTAATAAAAAAAAATATAAATAACATATTCTAATCTTATTTAAAACTAATCCAGGACTAAAAAAGAGCTTTATAACCAGAGCTTACAATCTGAAGAAAGCTTACAATTTGAATTAAACATCTTAAATCTTCTTTAGAATTGAATTAAAGATATAAAATCTTTTCTTTATACTGATTTTAATAACTACCGTATTTTCTCTAATAGTACTGCATCTAAAGCTTTGCCTAAATTCCTTGAAATCTCGTAAACCGCTTAGAAGAATCTATCGATGTGAGGTCGGAAAATGTAGCTGGCGATGAGATCTAGTGGGGGATTTGAGTGGTGAGCTTCTGGGAAAACTTGGAAACTGTAAAATAGTCACCAACTCGGCTCCGGGGGTGCACTACTATTAGAGAGGATACAGTATTCAGCTTTGCGCGCGCTCCCAGGGGTTTTCGGCTATGGAGAAGCTGACTTTTGAGTCTATTTTAAAAAAATGGCGGGGTTTAAGTAGCAAATTCTTAGCGCAGCTAGCGTTAAGAGCTCTGATCAATCAACAAAACTTGGGTTTTGTTTAGTCAAAACGCAACTTTCGGTTCATTACTTCCCTAATTCCCGCTAAAGCTTAGAATTCCTCGAAATCTCGAGGAACGGCTTAGAAGAATCTATCGATGTGGAGTAATGATTGGGGAAATGATTTACAAGGAAATGTTTGGGCAAAAGCTGGAGTTGGTACTTCGATAGGATTTGGATATTTTGATACATTTAGAAGACCGTATTTCTCTAATAGTAGCGAGTTTTTGTCTAAATTTGTCGAAAATATCGTAAACCGTTTATCAGAACTTATCGATGTGAGGGCGGAAAATGTAGCTGAGGATCAGATCTAGTGGGGGTTTGAGTGTTGAGCTTCTGTGAAAGCTTGGAAACTGTAAAAATAGACATCAACTCGGCTACAAATCTATCGTAACAAATCCAACAAAGCTTAAAGAAGTTGGTAACTAAGGAGAAGCCGATCTCAAAGAAGCTAATCCCTAACACTAATCCACAAGCTTGCCTAAATTCCTTGAAATCTCCGAGAACCGTTTATCAGAACCTATCGATGTTAAGGTCGGAAAATGCGGTGACGATGAGATCTAGTGGGCGATTTAGTGGTGAGCTTCTGGGAAAACTTTGGAAGCCGTCAATAGGCATCAACTCGGCTCAGGGGGTGCGCTGCTATTAGAGAAAATACGGTAGATGAATTTGCATATTAAATTTAGCTATTATTATCCAATTGCAAATTAAAGATGCGAAAAATATCAAAAACTTGACGACTCTCGCATGAATGACGTTTTGAAATCAAAAGCCATAACGAAAATACCGTATTTTCTCTAATAGTACTACACCCTGAGCCTTGCCTAAAATTCCTTGAAAATCTCGAGAACCGCTTAGAAGAAATCTATCGATGTCGGGTCGAAAAATGTAGCTGACGATCAGATCTAGTGGGTGATTTGGGTGGTAGGCTTCTGGGAAAAATTGGAAGCCGTAAATAGGCATCAACTCGGCTGTACTATTAGAGAAAATACGGTAGATGCACGTTAAAGCTTGTAAAAACTAAAATCCTCACTTTGCCGTGCTCCTTTCCATTCTAAATTCTTCTTTTCCATTCAGATATTTCCATTCCTTTTCCTTTATTGCTTCCTTACAGTTTACAGTAAATTTTTCAAGAGCAAAATCTGATTATTTAGAATCATCCTCTCTTGCGGTGCATTGATCACTTTTGTCACCGTTTCGATGTGTGTCGCGTTTTGATTGCCGCATATAAAAGGATGAAAAAATAGCTGGAGAAATTGTAAGAAATTGTATTAAAGTTGGAAAGTAAATTGAGCATTCAACTTTCATTTTTCTTTTAGTGATATGTAGTATTTATAAGTAAACTATTTATAAGCCTTTAATAAGCTAGTGTAGTAGTTGATAAGTAAAGATTTACTTATAATCCCTTCTAAACTACTGTAGTAGCACTTGATGAGTAAGCTTTATTAATACGTTTAAACCACTGTAGTAGTTGTTAAATGACCTTACTTCTAATCCCTTCTAAGCTACAGTAGTAGTGATAAACAAACCAGATATAACCCCTTCTAAGCTACTGTAGTAGTTGGCACGTAAACTTACTTACAATCCCTTCTAAGCTACAGCAGTGGTTGTTAAATAAACTTACCTATAACCCCCTTCTAAGCTACTGTAGTAGTTGTTAAAGTAAACTTACCCCTCTCCACCTTCCCAACTACTGTAAAACTTGATCCGGAAACTTTAGTAATACTTTTTAAACTACTGTAACTTTTCGGGAACATGATCACGACTCGGCTATGTATTATTGAAGTCCCCAGGCGGCTTTTGGAGATGAATTTGGCTCCTTTATCTATTCGCATAATATCCATTTGCAGTTTGTTAGCCTGCACATTCAATCCAGGTGACATTATATCAAAGCAAGAAGAATGGTGAAGACACAGTGAGTCCTTGAAAAGATTAAATGATGTTCAGAGTTGAACGGAAGGCGAAAGCTTTAGCTAGTCAGGAAATTAGGACAAATCCAAGAGAATTCGATTCGATCCAAAGCCAAATCCAAGAGCCTACTGTAGCCTACTGTAGCGTACTGTAGCGTACTGTAGCCTACTGTAGCCTACTGTAGCGTACTGTAGCGTACTGCAATGTACTGCAGTACGCTACATCTAAATCAAAACCATTCGATTTGGCTTGGCTTTTCTTGACTAAGCTTTTCGCTTTTTTGTCCAACCTTTTCAGAGAACTTTATGTACTTCTTATTGTACTTCTTACTGTACTTCTTACTCGTATTTCCTACTGTACTTTGTGCGGAAAACTACAGCCTTTCAGCATTTTGATAAATGATTGTTTGGGGCCCGAATGCAGCGCCAACTCGGCCTAATCAAGATTTATTTCATCATTTCGATCGTCTCAGCAGTGCTCGTCTCTCTGCCCAAATGCTATTGCTCCATTTCAAATTTATGCTTAAAAAGATGTGAAGGTTTATGAGAAATTATTGATTTAATTCAGCTTTTTTCAGTTATCAAACTCGTTGTCAAGCCCAACCCATTGGGCTCAAACAGCCCAACTCCCGGCATTCACTTTTTGTGTATTTAGCAGAGAATTCAAGGTGAGATTATAGAGATTTTCGATAAAGAACTTGAAAAACATTTCTTTCGCCAGTTTACTGTAGTTCTTGGAGAGTACGGTAGCCGATGAGATGTTGAAAAAGTTAAGGTAGAAGCTACAGTACAGTTGGAGTCTACCACTGTGGCCTCAGAAACTACTAAGAACTACAACACTACAGCATGCTACAGTACACTAAGAACTACAGCAGTACACTGCAGTACACTACCAAAAGTACGCTACAACGGGCTACAGTCGGCTTACCGGTACACCACAATAGGCTACAGTCGGCTACAGTGAGCTACTGTACGCCATGGTGGCTTACAGTGCGCTACAGTACACCATAGTATGCTACAATGAAACTACAGTAGGCTACAGTAAACCACTGATCAACTCCAATGGGGGGGGGGAAATTGCAGTATCTACCAATAATCTTTAGTTTGCTGCTGCATATGGTAGTGCGGTATTTGGATGTTCCAGGGGGGGGAGAATGGAAAAAAAAAATGTTCATCTGGTTTGCTACAGTTTCGGACCCCAGGTGGGGCTGTAACAAAAACCAAAGAAAACAGACTAAGGACAGAAATCCAGAAAAGATCGATGGACAACTAGTTGTTTTGACGAAGAAGACTGGAACTTTCAGGATCGAATATCATGAGTCCGCAAATGAAATAAAGATCGGATCCCTTAGAAAGACAAGAAAAAGGCTGAACACCCC